TATCCTCCCACCGCCCCCCGGGGGGCGGTACCGCCCCCGTTGAGAACCAATGATTTAGTCAACTTATTAGCTGCTTCAATCACTGAAGCAAGTCTAGATGGGCTGCTGAGGGAGAATTGGGGGGAAATAAGTTGGCATGAGTTGGTGTTTGTGCAACAACTAGATACAATGCTGTGTTGGCATAGAAATCACTGTTTAAGATGCATTATTTGTTTCAACAAAACATCAAATTGATGTAAACATGGCAAACTGTAAATGTAAAGGTAACCCCAAAATTTGGGGAAGCCTGGCATTTCAGGTTGCTTAACTAATTACCGTGTTGTATGTATTAGATTTGTTTCTGTGAAGGACATGTCATGAGAACTTTATATTTGTCTTATATTAAAAAAGAGAAATTGGATTTAATATTTTAGCCAGAACAGCCTTGGAAAAGTAATCTTTTCCTCTGCTCCTTGACATTTATCATATTATAGCATTAGAAGAGCCATTTTTCCACTATTGGTTAATGTGTCCTTGGGTATGCCACTTCTAGCTCAGCTTCATACTCCATAGTAACATGCTTTAGATCACGTCAAACAGCAGTTAATAGCAGCTGCTGAAATGCCCTCCCCTCCTTATCAACACCCCAGTGTATGCTAAGAATTCTAATGCTAATTAGAATTCTAGCATGCTAATTCTGACCTATGAATTATAAGGCTGCCTTACATACTAAGGCCTGTATAGATTAATTTCATTGTGCTATAATTGGCAGCACCTAATCAACCATGGCTGGTCTTGAAAAGTTATACAGTCAGAATTCATCATGACTTGGAGAGGAAACCATCAGGAAAGCCCTGGGCTCAAGGTGAGACTGGAAAGTCAGGAAAAAAAAATTTGGCAAGAACAAACGGCACTTTCATCTGGTTACCAAGAAAACAAAACGGACATGTCCTTTAAATAACCAGATAGTCTTCCTGGTAGGGACATCGGATCAAGATTTTTCTCCATTGTAACTAAATCCCTGTAATGCTTGGAAGGGGGAATCTATGGCCCTTCCAGATGTTGAACTACTAAAAACGCTTTCCCAGTATAATGTGACTAAGCCCCCACCCCTTTTCCTTGATCCCTCAGTTGATGCCAATTGCACCCGTTCCTGAATCAGGAGGGTCTCCAGACTAATCACCGCACAGTTGGGCTACTGCAGTGTGCTGTACGTGGGGCTGCTCTTGAAGACCACATGGAAGCTACAGGTGGTCCAGAGTTCAGCAGCACAAGTAGTGATGGGCCTGCCTCAGTATGCCTGCAAATCACCGCTGCTCAGCAAGCTGCATTGGTTGCCAGTGAACTTCTGGGTGCAATTCAAGGTGCTGGTTATCACCTATAAAACCAGGTTTCTGTGATGGACTGGAATGGAGGAAGGGGGGTGAAAATGGTGCTCTCCTCTCCAGAGCAACACTCTGGAGATAAGCTGAGAAAGCTGGCGCATCCCTAAACATTCCAGAAGATAGTAGAGAGTTGTGCCTGGGAACTG